TGGGTTGCCATGGGCTACCATGTGTAGCCAGCAGCCAGCGTGAGCGGCCAGCAGCCGCAGTGAGCGGCCGTCCAGAAGCCTGCGACTGATCTGCTTCGCCTGGGAAGAGCGCAGTGATGGTGCCAACTTGGGCCAGTGAAGCAACGTCCTCCACAACTAGACTGAAGAACAAAAACAACAACAACAGCAACTTGTCTGTTCCCCTTCCCCCAATTCCCCAGCACTGTTCCCATCCCCCCAATTCCCCAATAAAAATCTTTTTAAAAAAACCCAAAAAAACAAAACCCTAAAGTCTTCCACTTGCATGTAGGCCTTAGAGTAACTAAAAAGTAGCACCATCACCAAATGGTGCTTATTAATCACACTACATACCCTAGAAGCCATGTAGAACTCTTCCCTATGTGTTAGAAATAAAGGACAAGTAAACAAATGTATTTAAGGTAAGAATATAAATAACATATCAACATCATAGACAAGCAGAACAGTTAGGACATATTATGGAGAGATGAGAAGGAGATAATATAGTTTGCCCTACGTATCCACCAGTTCCTCATTCCTGGATTCAACCAACTATAAACCAAACATATTTGAAAAAAATGTTATGTTGTTGCTGACGTGAACTATGTTATTAGGTTGATGCAAACGTAATTGGAGTTTTTGCATTGTTGAAATTTGCCTTTGATATTGGAATACATTCCCAAATAAATGTGGTTATTGTTATACGTCGTTTTAATGTGCATTTCTCACTTTGTTTTTTTGCTAATGACTTATTACTTGCTGTTTATTTTATATGTATTTTAGATTATGGAAATGATGTTAAGACAAAAAGCAAATTTGAGCGATTTTCTTATTCAAGATCAAAATGAGTCATAAAACAGCGGAGACAACTCGTAACATCCACAACACATTTGGCCCAGGAACTTCTAACAAACGTACAGTACAGTGGTGGTTCAAGAAGTTTTGCAAAGGAAACGAGAGCCTTGAAGATAAGGAGCATAGTGGCTGGCCACAGGAAGTTGCAATGACCAATTGAAAGCAATCATCGAAGCTGGTCCTCTTACAACTACATGAGAAGTTGCCAAAGAACTCAACATCGACCATTTTATGGTTGTTCGGCATTTGATGCAAATTGGAAAGGTGAATAAGCTTGATAAGTGGGTGCCTCATGAGCTGATCACAAATAAAAAAATTATCGTTTTGAAGTGTCGTCTACTCTTATTCTACCCAACAATGAACCATTTCTCAATAAGATTGTGATGTGCGACGAAAAGTGGATTGTATATGACAACCAGCTCAGTGGTTGGACCTACAAGAAGCTCCAAAGCACTTCCAAAGCCAAACTTGCACTAAAAAAGGTCATGGTCGCTGTTCGGTGGTCTGCTGCCGATCTGATCCACTACAGCTTTCTGAATCCCAGTGAAACCATTACATCTGAGCATGCTCAGCAAATCGATGAGATGTACCAAAAACTGCAACGCCTGCAGCCAGCATTGGTCAACAGAAAGGGCCCAATTCTTCTCCACGGCAATGCCCAATTGCACATCATACAACGAATGCTTGAAAAGTGGAATGAATTGGGATATGAAGTTTTGCCTCATCCGCCATATTCACCTGACCTCTTGCCAACCAACTACCACTTCTTTTTTAAATTTTTTATTTAACTTTATTGGGGAACAGTGTGTTTTTCCCAGGACCCATCAGTTCTAAGTCCAGTCACCGCTTTCAATCTAGTTGTGGGGGGCGCAGCCCACCATCCCATGCTGGAATCGAACCAAAACCCTATTGTTAAGAGCATGCGCTCTAACCAACTGAGCCATCTGGCCGCCCACCAGCAGCTCAGCTCAAGTCGTTGTCTTCAATCTATCTGCGGAGGGTGCAGCTCACTGGCCCATGTGGGAATCGAACCAGCAACCGTTGCTCAGAGCTCGCGCTCTAACCAACTGAGCCACCCGGCCGCCCCAACTAGCACTTCTTCAAAGCATCTCAACAACTTTTTGCAGGGACACTTCCACAACCAGCAGGATGCAGAAAATGATTTCCAAGAGTTCGTCGAATCTCGAAGCATGGATTTTTTTTTTTAATTTTAACTGAGCCATCCTGCCACCTGTTGGCAGCTCAGCGGCTACTCAGCTCAGGCTGGGAGTCGAACCGCTGTTGCTCAGAGCTCGCACTCTTGCGCGAGCTCTTAACCAACTGAGCCACTCAGCCGGCCCTGGAAGCATGGATTTTTATGCTACAAGAATAAACTCATTTCTTGTGGGCAAAAATGTGTTGATTGTTAATTGTTCCTAATTTGATTAATAAAGATGTGTTTGAGCCTAGTTATAATGATATAAAATTCGCAGTTCGAAATCACAATTACTTTTGCACCAACCTAATAGTTAAGCCTACAATGGTCCTGTCTGTACTGAACCTGTACAGACTTTTTTTGTTGTTATTCCCTAAACAATACAGTATAAGGACTTATAGAGCATTTAGGAAGTGTGATCAAACAATACAGTGAATGCTTAAATTTCTAAAACTGTATTACAGTAAAAGACACATTGCCATTAGTCCTCCTCAAAATACTCCCTCTCAATTCGAACGAATTTATCCCATCATTCTTGCCACCTTCTGAAGCAGTTCTGAAAGTCCTCTTTCGTGAGTATCTTTTGTTCCACTATCGTGGCTGCCCCAACGTCCTGAATCCACTCAAAACGTTGACCTTTCATGGTCATTTTGACGTTGGGGAAGAGCCAGAAGTCACATGGTGCCACCAGATTCGGTGAATAAGGTGGATAAGGACACACTGTAATATTTTTGACAAAAATTGCCATACCAGAAATGATGTGTGACACGGAGCCTTTCCATTGTGATCACAAAACACAGTGAGTGCTACTGCCAAGTGCCATCCAATGGAAAGGGAGGGATCTTCAATACGGGAAGTGGCGCATCGAGCCTTAGTAACAGCATGTGACAAGTTTCAACTTGTTTGGTGCAGTCAGTCAGGTGTGAGCTATAGTTGAGAGGAGGTGTGTTCTAAAGTGTGCTGTAAATCATCCTCCATCACGACAACACTCCATGTCACACATCACTTCTGGTACATGGCAATTTCTGTCAAATAAAAACATTACTGTGTGTCCTCATCCACCTTATTCACCAGATCAGTCACCGTGTGACTTCTGGCTCTTCCCCAAAGTCAAAATGATTCAGGACATCAAGGCAGCCACCACAGCACAACTAAAGACACTCACAAAAGAGGAATTCCAGAACTGCTTCAGAAAGTGGCAAGAATGATGGGATAAGTGTGTTTGAAGTGAGGGGGAGTGTTGTGAAGGGGATGAATGGCAATGTGTCTTTTACAGTATTTTTTATTTTTATTTTTTAGTTGAGCCATCCTGCCACCTGTTGGCAGCTCAGCAGCAGCTCATCTTGGGCCGGGACTCGAACCGGCAACCTTGTTGTTCAGGGCTCGCATTCTTGAGCAAGCTTTTAACCAACTGAGCCACTTGTCCAGCCCAATAATTTTTTTTAACTTAAACATTCACCATATTGTTTGAACACACCTCGTAACTCAGAGTAGATCTTAGAGACTGGGCAGGATGGAATGGGATAGGGAAGGGAGGGTGGGAGAAGGGGTGGGAAGGAAAGAGCAGAGAAGGGAATAGAATGGAGAATGAAAGTGAGGATGAGGGAGAGAAAGTTTTGTCTTTGAGAGAGGTAGAGGGAAAGGCTATACTGGATAAGAATACATAGAAAGTAAAGCCCAATAAAGGACTATTTTAACCCTCTGTCGGGCACAAATGATCTCACAGATTCATTGCACACAAGGATGCTGCTATGAAATACGTCTTACTGTACTGTCACAAACATGACTAGAGATAGGTTACGGTAGAGGGGGAAGATACAGAAACAATGAGTCACAATACTTAACTTTTAAGATATTTGAAAATTTGTGTGCAATGAATCTGTGAGATCAGTTGCGCCCGACAGAGGGTTAAAAGCATGTAAGACGACAACCACAATGTAATCCTGAGCCACATCAGAGCAGTAAAAACTGACAGAGCCTAGTTAAAGTAACAATCCAACTCAGTATCTTTAATGGTAGGTCAGAAATTACTGTAAAGTTTCATGCCTACATAAAAAATGTTTTGTGATACAGTGAACTTCTCTAAAAAAGACAAGTTGAGGTGAGCAACATGAATTAATATCTGAATTACACATAATATTTAAGAATTATATCATTAAATACAAACACTAAAAGTATAGGCAGCAAAATTATATCTAGCAGAAGGCCTATTTAATTATTAAATTAAAATCATATAATTTCCAATATGCTTGAAATATATAAATTTATATATGTTTAGGGCTCCTCAATTTTGTTTTCTGTAGGACCTACTCTATTTCTTAGATCATCCTATTAATCTACAAAGATTTCTTCAATAAAGATTAACTTTAGTTTGGTGTCTAAATTTTTTCAAATAAAGTATAAATTAATCTAGAATCAGATTTGGACATTTTGTTGTTAGACGCAGTAATCTGCTTCCAGGGTCGACAAGGATTTTGTTTACTATCTTTCTATTTCAAAAACTCTCAATTTAATATATTTAACAGCATTTTTTTTTTCAAAAGTCTAAGTGAACCATGGTCAAAAGATCAATGTTGTTGGCAGGGAGTACTGGTGTTGCTGTACTCTATACGCTGACTTTTCACTTTATTTCTACAGTGTCAATGATATTGTTTCAAAGAAAAACATTCAGCACATTCTTACCCTGAAAAATTATCAAATGTAAGTCACAAAAAACCCAAACTTGAAAATTTCAAACTACTACATCCAAACCAATGTCTGTCAGTGAGAAACAAGCACAATTAAAAAAAAAAAAAAGAAGAAGAAAAAAAGAAAAAGCACATTTATGAAATCATGAAAAGCTATTTTCTCAAAAATATCTGTCAAGGACTTCTAATTTGAAAATTATACATACTCATTTTAAAACAGCATGGTGACAATACTGTCATTCAATTTTAATACAATGAAAATAATGTAAAAATGTAAATGCTGAGTATGTTAATGAACTGAGCACTCTGAAGTTTTAGATAGCCTACTCCTATCAATCAAGAATAAAAGGCTTAAGAAAAAAAGAATACAAGGCTATATATAGGGTTGTCACTTTGAGGGGTAAAAAGTATAACTACTGCACTGTGTTGTACTGCTGAAACTAATTTAAAAAAATGTTTATTTCACAATAAAAAATTTAAATAAATAAATAAATAAATAAATAAATAAAATAAAAGGCTATAAATTCCATACCTTTCCAACTGCTTCTGATGTTTCTCCTCTCTAGCCTGGGCCTTCATCTGTTGTACTTCAATGGTATCAGGCTTCCTTCTTCGCATATATAGTTCATGGTTTCCCATACACAAGGCCAAAATCCGCTTATTGATTCTCAGACGAGGTGCATAAAAAACAAAATCCTAAACATAAAGTATTCTGAATTTAAAATCTTCCTGAAGAATAGTCTCTCTCATAACAATCTGTACTAAATTTCAGTATGTGGTATGAATTCTAATGTCACATTACCTATTGTTTAGAAATGAAAAAATTTCGTAACGTCTAAAGAGTATGCCATACTTCCATATTTCTGGTTCCTCATCCTTTCATCCCACCACTTTTGTAGGGAGACTAACCTTATCCTCTCAATACATTAAATGTCATTTATTATTTTTTTCTTCTCCAAAGTAACTATGAGCATCTGTTCTTTCACAACAGAAGGGTTTTTTGTTTGTTTTACCTTCTGTCATATTTATCTTAAAACTGGTCTTTGTCGATGGCTGTCAAGTTTTTTAACCTAGAAATGTTCTCCTTATCTTTGTGTCTTTTCAGTAACTAACAGAGAGAATACAAAAATATATTTGACACTAGAAGAATCAAAGAATCTATTTAAATAAAGATGTCTTAAGTTTAAGGCTTCAAGTTACAAAAATACAAAGTTCATAATGCAAAACTCCATAAACAAAATTAATGTAGAATAGGGCTACCTCTGCTACATTCTAGCTACCAACAAACAAGTTTATTAATTTACTGGGTGACACTGATTATAAAATATATAGGTTCAAGAGTACCTCATCTGTATATTGCACTGTGTGTTCACCACACAGGCAAACCTCCTTCTGTCATCGTGTATCTTACCCCCTTTACCCTTTTCTATTTCTCCCCTTCCCCCTCCCTTCCCTGTGGTAACTACTAAACTGTTGTCTGTGTCTATGAGCTTTTTTACACAAATAAGTTTTTAACTGCTTCTCAGGAATGGTGATTGTTTTCAGCCACCTCCTAATACCTTATAGTTGCATTTCAGTTAAAGTAAAACTCTAATACACGAGTATATATATGTTGTAAAAAGATTAAAATCTTGTATTTTTAATAACATTATCTCATCACAAGAAAAAGTAAACTATGAAAAGGGAATGTTCCTCAGGAGCAATTCTATAAATAAACAATGCCATTCTTCAAGTAATACCATAGCAAAGAGGCAAAAATTTAAAGTTAATACAGAAAACATATAAAAGAATTTTACTTACAGGTGCCTTTTTGTCAATCGGCTTTATAACAAATTTTTTATCATTAAATGAAATATTTCTGATTTCACTCCAGGGAAAACCAATTTTAGGTGTTAACCTTAAAAAAAAAAAAAAAAGACAGCATGCCTTTAGTAAAAAGCAGGAAACAATGGACAAAATTCCTATCAACTTTTTGGGGCCAATTTAACTGACCAGTCTCAAGAGTTCCAGACTTTCAAAATGTACTAACTTACTCATAACATACCATTGACATTATCTTTTAAGGGGAAATCTGATCAATTAAATCACATAAACAAAGAATAACTCTCCAAAGATTTCATAAATGTATCAGGAACCTTGATTTTTCCTAAAATTACCTAGAAAAAACTATCTAGTTTTAGAGTGCAGAACTGAGCCTGTTAGGGTTTATACTAGCTCTATTTAGACTCAAGCTACAACTATTAATTTTAAATGAAGAGGGGGAAAAAAGATAGTCTTCATAGTTTTACATGTGAATTATGAACATAAGTTGCTAAATATTAAAAAAAATTATTTCCTTTTTCTAATCTTAAAATCTTTCAGTATTTGTGAATATATTAAAAACACTAAATTTTCAGTTCACTTTAAATAAAATAAATTTAAACACTCATATACACAAATGTTCAGATAAATAGTAGAGCTGAAGTTCTAACTCCTATGGCTATATAACAGTTGCCCCCATTTACCACCCTACACACAAAAATGTAGGGAAACAGACTGGAACAAGTAGTTTTGTTTCTGCTCTTCATATATTTTACTGTTTCAGACTACCCATCAAATGTGTCACAGCAGTCAGTAATAACAAGAGTGTAAAATGACTGTGACATCTATGTTGGCCAAAAGGCATCTTTTAGTCAGTGTTCTGATAACAGTATGAATTCCTACCTATTCATAGTCTTTTTAATTTTTTAACTCTTAGGCAGACTGGGACCTGCAGCACAGCAAATACTTTTTTCTACAAAATACACACTTTACTCTATATGCATGCACTATATTGTCCTCTAATGGCCATGTGGATAAGTCAAATTACCTACCAAAAGGGGAGGCTGTTAGAACACAGTCTTTTTAAGGTAATATTATATTTACATGTTACTTTAAAAAATTCTAAAGCAATTTCCTCATATAATTCTCAAAACAATCTTTTACGGTGGGCTTGGCAGTTCCCGGTCACAAAGGTAAATAGTGGCAGAGCTGGTAAAAGAACTCAACTAACCTTTGAAAGTTGTACCCTATTTATTTTTTAAATTTAAGTAAATGTAAGTAATAACTGAATACATTCTCATTATAAAAAGAAAATGGACCATTAAAGACAAAGTCCCTTGTTCACAATCCTCAATCACAGTCCCTCCCACCCAGAACTAAATCCCTCTTTTTCATATTCCCCATCTTTATCAGTATCCATATCTATGGGTACTCTAATAAAACTAATTCAATAATTTCTAAAATAAATAAAAGATTTGGCCTATAATAATTAGCTTGAAGTCATTTTAGCTTTTCGAAAATTTCAAAATTTTCTCTTCTGAATGACATATAGCATTTTATTTTGCTTTGTAATATAAATGAAAAAATATATCGGTAAAATTAATAAAATACTCTCTTCTGAGTTATCATATATGCTCAGAAATGTATATTTCATTAGTATCTGTAATAATGAAACTAAAATTCTGGAGCCAACCCAGAATAAAAGAATGCCTTAGAAGGTGTTTACTGACACAAACTTGGATGCTTATGTGATACGGTAAATAAAGAAAAGCCTAAAGCAACTGTAGCTATCATTCCTGAAAAGTGCTATAAAAGCCTGATGTTATTTTATATTAATGTCAAAGTTAAAACCTGGTCAATTTCAAAATAAAATTACGCTGTTTACTATACTTAATTCAGGGATATTCTACTTTATTGATGTCCAAAAATATTAAAAACAAGTCCAATGAGAAGTGTTCAAAAAAGGTGTTATAAAACACAATAAATCATATATCTATTAATTTCACTGCCTGATTGCTCCTGATTTCTTACATACATCAATTTCAATTTCAACCCATATGTCAGGCGTAACATTTAAAGATTTATTTTTCATCTACTGAGGGAAAAAATATTAAATTATTAGATGTAATTCAAAAGAGATCAAGAAGCACACTTCAAATAAAAGTGAATCATCCCATTTGATAAATACACTGCGAAATAGAACTCTGAAACCGCAAGATGTTGAGAAAATTAAAATATGGTATCTGGAAGCCTATGTGGCATTAACTAATCTTTGAATTTGGGAGAAAAAAAAAAAGCAGTAAGGGTAATCAAGCCAACAAAGAACTATTTATAAACAGAACTTAAGATTAAAGCCATATAGACCACTGATTAATGAATAGTTTGCTATTTACTTACTTGTCATCATGCTCATAAATATTCAGGCCCAAAGCATCAACACCTAGCCACAATTCAGTTCCTTTTTTATTTTTTATTTCAAAATAGTTGACTCCATACATTTCTAGATCCTGTGCAATCTTCAGGTATTCCATCATAGAATCTTCCCTGTTGAAATAAAGCTTATTGTAATATATTTAAATAAGAGTATCTAATACAAAATTATTTACAAAAATACTTTGGACTAAGATTTAGTGCTTCATATTTATTCATATAAGTCAAATGATGTTTTGGGATATGATGTAATAATAAATGTTATGAAATAAAAATACTGTAATTTGAGAAAAAACACTAAGAAAATAGCCACCAAATACCTTAGCATTCCTCTATGTTCTTCATGCCAGTTCTGTATTCTTTCTTCCCACTGTTCTTTTGTCAGTTTGTGTTGTTCCAAAACACTATAACAAAAAAAAAATCTATAAAAACACCTGTATGATTGAAAATCACTATTCTTTTAAAAATCTACGATACCTTGACTGTGGTGGTTGTCATACAAATCTATACATGATAAAATTGCACAGAATAAATACACACACACACATGCCTGCATGTAAAACTGATGAAATCTGAACATGGTAGGTAGATTGCATCAATGTCAATATTTTGATTGTAATATTGTACTGAAGTTATGCTGGATGTTACCATAAGGGAGGGCTGGGAGAAGGACACAGGATCTCTCTTATTATTTTTTACAACTGCATGTTAATCTATCATTATCTCAAAACAAGAAGTTTCTAGGATCCTGAAATTATTTTAAATAACATGTTTTAAAAAGTTATTATACAGATTATAAAAATTCAAATGTTTCAAATGAATAAAATATTGGACAAAAAAGGAAAATGACTTTCTCATTATTAATAGAAAAATTACAGAACAGATTGAAAATCAGAATTCTTGGAACTTAATTCTTTTACTCTATGTATTTGCTGCTAAATTTTATTTTATTTTCTATAGATAATGCTTTATATAAAAGTATACAAGTGAAAAGTCACACTTTTTTCACCACCCCATGCCCTCCAGAAAGCTTTTTATTAGTTTCTTTTGCATCCTTCCAGTGTTCCTTATGCAAATGTAAGCAAACACAAACATTATTTTCTACTATATTTTAATACCAAATCGGCAAGTCCAACATGCATATAATTTACCTACTCTGTACACTATAGATTATGTCTTTCTAGTCTCTTTGGGTTATACAATGATAATTATTTATCTTTATTAGTGAATCCTCAGATCCTACTTTACTGATAACAAAAGCTGTGGTGTTAAAATGTTATTGTTTTGCTATATAAAAATTTCACATAAAACCCAGTGATTTCTTGGCAGTGTAAAAGAATCTTAGGATGCAATCTTCTCTTGGATAAGTTACTCACTATTTGGATTCCTTATTGGGGACTCAGGCAGACCATTATGTTAATACAAACTGCTCCTTTCTTGATGTATCCTCTTTTAAGCTCTTGCTTTTGGGAGAGGGAGTTTTGTCTTCCTCCTTAGAAAACTTAGGTTTCTACATTTTTCTTGTCTTTATACACCCTCTCTCATTGTCTGGCCTCTGTGCTCACCAAGAGGAATGCAATCAGCCTTGAGGGCACAATAAGGTCAGCCAATTGCTGGTATCAGGATGTTAACTATATCTGAAGCTATGGGTTTATTAAATTGGATGGCACTAAGATTTACGCTGTAGCTTTTTATAGCTTGGATTTCAAACCTCATTTGTTTGCATTTCACTTAATGCACCTGTATTATTAATATGAATGACTGATTTGCAGGTATCCAAAACTTCCTTCTTTTTCTTCTGTCCAGAACAAAGGAGCCCTTTTTCATGCCTAAAGTCAATCTGTCCAATTTGACTTTTAATCTGTCTATATGGGCCTTTAAATAACTTCTCCCTCCACCTTCTCAGGATCTTCATCATTTTTCATAGGGGACATATTTATTGTCCCCTGCCTATATATATTATCATTAATACTTATTTGTGTTACAGAGAGCAAAGACCACATCCATGTTGCTCACCACTATATACCCAGTGCCAGCACCAAAGAGTACTCAAAAATTTGTAGTGAATAAAGGAACTAAATCGATTCTTTCTTTTTTTTTTCTTTTAAACAGCAAACTTCTTTCAAGAACTCTCCCTATTCACTATCTTTTATTTCCATACTGCACATCTACTGTCCAACCCCCCAAACACCACAATCTGGCTTCAATCCCCAACACTCTACTGAAGCTGCTCTTTCTAATGGCACTACAATCTTATTGGTAAACCCAACAGACATGTTAGTTCTCTTAATACTCGACCTCTCTGTACTGTTTGACACTGCTGACCAGTCCCTCCTTAAAGCATGTTTTATTTTATTTATTTATTTATTATTTTTTTTAAGCGGAGCCATCCTGCTACCTGTTGGCAGCTCAGCGGCTGCTCAGCTTGGGCTGGACTCGAACCGCTGTTGCTCAGAGCTCAAACTCTTGAGCGAGCTCTTAACCAACTGAGCCACTCGGCCGGCCCTTAAAGCATGTTTTTACCTTGGTTTCCATGATGTAACACTCCTCTGGTATTATTCTTGACTCTCTGGCCTTTTTTATTTCCTCAGTATACTTTACAGGAGTCTCTTCCTCTGTACTTAAAACTTAAGTTCCAATGAGGTCTGCCCTAGGACTTTTTCTCATTATATATGTACTTTCAGATCCATCTCCTTCATTCTCATGGGTTAACTGTCATCTATTTGCTAATTACTCCCAAAATTGTATCTAGAGCTCAAACTGCTCTCCAAGATCTGAACTCACATCTATAAATGGGTACCAGCTCTCTCTTAGTTATATTGTAGACATTTCAAACTCAATAGGTTCAAAACTGAAATTTTCCTCCTGCAAAATTATTCCTTTCCCCCACATCTTGGCAAAAAGGTATTACACCTACCACCCAGATGCCCAAGTCAGAAACCTGGAGTATAAAAATTTGTGTATCAGGCTCTTTTTAAAGGAGAGACGTTACTATCTGGCGGAGCTGATTGGTCATATCACCAGAGAACTAAACTCTACCGTGGAAGAACAGATGCTTCTCTGGGTTTCTCAACACAATAATTAAAAGCAGACATCAAAATCATCTAATTACTGTGTCTGATTTATGATCACCAAATAAACTTCCGGTGACTAATTTTCCCCCCAGGTACAGTAAGACCCTGACTTACAAACGAGTTCCACTCTAGAACATTCGTAGGTTGGACTCGTTCATAAGTCTGACAAAGTGAGTCTTATACACCTTTGACAAAAATATACAATATAAAGCATAAAAAAACTAAACACACACACAAAATGTGCTAATGGCTAAATGATTCATCTTACAAGAACGAGCTATGTCTACCATCTTTTCGCCTCGGTCCAATCTCTCAATTATTTTCACTTTTGTTTTCATAGTTATTGCTTTGCGCTTCCTAGCAGTCCCGTACACATCACCACTGCTTTTCCTCTTGCTTCTGGACATCCTGGGCTCTGATTGAGCACTGTACTACTGTACACTATTGCACTGTACAGTAAGCACACAGCAGCACAACTTTGACAATGTCCGGCAGACACGTGCACTACTTCCATGATTTGTTCGCATCTACAAATGTTCATAATGCAAGGTCCGTTCCTATCTGTCAAAGTTCGCAACTCGAATGTTCCTAAGTCGGGGACTTCCTGTACTTAAAACAGTGAGAAAAAGTGTGCTATCTACCATAAATGGAATTAATTCATCATTGTAAAAGTATTTCTTCATTCTAAACCAAAAAATTAATATTCTGACATTATGAGTAAGCCTCTTTTAAGCTCAGATAGCAGGAATTAGCACTCCAGAGGGCTATCAACTTGACAAACACCTATCTGGAACTTCAGTGTTATCTTCCCTCTTTTTAAATAGAGTGGTTTAAAGAACATATATTTAAAATAAAGGAATTAATTGTGCTTAAGTATGATTCCAATGTTTAAAAGATTTTTAAAAAATCACATGACTATTAAATGTAAACTAATTATTTCATCTGGTGTGCAACCAAACATCAATCTTATTTAACATTGAAAGAACAACTATCTATGTTATACTTGTTGAAATAAAATTGTTTTTTAATGAAAGTTAAAAAATTTTAAGGTTAATTTTTTTTTTTTTTAAAGATTTTATTGGGGGATTGGGGAAGGGGAACAGCCAAGTTGTTGTCCTTCAATCTTAGTTGTGGAGGGCGCAGCAAGCTCAGTCCAAGTCCAGTCACGCAGCTCAGCTCAAGGTGCCACGTTCAGTCTTAGCTGCAGGTGGGTGTAGCCACCATCCCATGTGGGAGTCGAACTGGCAGCCTTATTGTTAAGAGCATGTATGCCATCCCCTGAGCCACCCGGGCCACAGCTCAGCTCAAGGTGCCAAGTTTAGTTTTAGTTGCGGGTGGGTGTAGTCCACCATTCACACTGGCAGCCTTGTTGTTAGGAGCTTGTGCTCTCACCAGCTGAGCCATCCTGCCACCTGTTGGCAGCTCAGCTCAGGGTGCAGCATCACTGGCCCATGTGGGAATCGAACCGGCGACACTGTTGCTCAGAGCTCGCTCTCTTGGGCAAGCTCTTAAACAACTGAACCACTCGGTCGGCCCTTAAGGGTAATTTTGATCATACATAATATTTACCTTACATGCTGACTTAAAAACTTAATTCGCTGTGCATTTTACTATATATAAATTATATCTCAACTAAAAATAAAACGAATCCTTATCTGAAATTCTACTGTGCCAGTAATCAATTACTCAATTCAGTGCTTAAAAAAGTCTGAGACAAAGAATTTTGGGTTGGAATAATCAAAATCAGATAAACATACAGACTGACAAATGTCTTATATTATGATTTTTTTCATGAACATGCATATTTTACCTTCTAAGTTAATTATTACTGCAATAATATTAAAGGGGAAAACAGTGTAACTTTAATAACCAAATATAATTGTTCTGTTATAAAGCATATGTCCACAGAATACAGTTTGTTAGCTGAAAATAAGTGCTAATGCCTATAACCATAGGAAATTATTAAAAGTCTACAGGAAGTAGTTTAGTCTTTCTTCATATTTAGTACCGATGAAAAAGAAATTACAGGGCCGGCCGAGTGGCACAATGGTTAAGAACTGGCTTGGGACGCCAGAGGGCCCCGGTTCGGATCCCACTTATGAGGGCCAGTGACACTGCTCTCCACAGCTAAGATGCTGAACAACAGCTCAACCTGAAGCTGGGCTGCCATGAGTCGCTTGCAATGGCGCAGGCTGCAGCCCCTGTGGCAGTGGGTTGCCATGGGCTACTGTATGTAGCCAGCAGCCAGCATGAGTGGCCAGCAGCCGCAGTGAGCGGCCTTCCAGAAGCCGGCGACTGATCTGCCTCGCCCGGGAAGAGCACAATGATGGTGCCAA